ATGAGGGCACCTCAACTCATTCCTTCAGAAGACCATGTAGGGTCTCAGCGTGCAGGACGCAGCCTATCCAAAATAAACATTATTCAACTCAGTGAACCCAGCAGAATGGAGACAAAAAATCCAACATCTAGGAAGATAATGCTGAAATAGTAAGACCCATGAGGTAAAAATATTTTAGATGTTCAGACGTCTCATGCAAACCCTAACAAAGCCACAGAACTCAAAGTACCTTTCACCCAGAAATATTACAACAGAGCAGGAAGGTGAGCACATTAGAGATACATGAGGAAGATGATCAGCCTGTAAACAAGGTGTATCACAGGCACGTTATACTAATAAATGGTGCCAGGATCTCTTTGCAAAGCCCCACAAATCAAGCCACAAGTAGAAGGAGCATTTCAGAAGATCAGCAAGAGAGTTAATTTTTCACATCAGATAGGTAGTGTTACTTTAATCAGTTAGAGGAACAGATTTTACATGTTGGAGATGTACTTTGATTTTTCTGAATTTTGATATTGTAATGCACACTGTCACAGCTGAAATGAGGAGAAGCACTTAAAGTGACAGCTCTTCCCTGGGAGGAAAGAAAGAGAATTACCAGGAAAGTACTGTTTTTCTCTATGAAACATACTGTGTTGGCTTCAAAGTGCCCATCTGAACTCCGTCTGGTGATTAGTAGTGAATTTTTTGTTGGCTGATATACAGAAGGGGTATTTCACTCAGTTTTATTCTGTCACATTGCCACTTTTCACTGAGAACATACACCAAAGGTATCTTTTAGTAAGAAGTTCTCATTTTTCACAAACATTTATAAATAACTGAAAAGGGGGGTGACTATAACTCCTTTCTCACACATTTTCTGCTCAGTCTCCCTGTTACTTCATAGTTAGTGTCCTTCTTAAAACAATGCTGAGAAAAGCAGTGGGCCAACTTAGGCAAAAATGTGCCTCATGACAAACTGAACCAATCCTTGGAATTCATCTTCCCTTGCAGCCAGACATTAACGTAGTCTGCAGTCTCCATAATTATCTGGGGTCAAGAAATTCATCTGCAACAATTTTCCCTCCTTTTGGCAAACCTGGTCTAACAGAGAAAATCCAGGTCAGAGAGACATGTAACTGGATTGTTTTGAAGATGTTGACTAACTAAGGGGAGAAATCTAAAGAATAATGAGTTTAAATAGCAAGAGGATTTTATTTCAAGAAATTGCACAATGGGAATCACGGTCAAACCATTTCTTACATTCTAATAACATCAAATATTGGCTGCTCATATGTACAGGCATATGTAATTCATGCATATTATAAATATCTGAAGATTTGTAAGCATAAAATTATCAACAACTGCTATAGTTAATAAAACATGGGAAAAAGTATTGCAAGTCACATCAGGTTGACAGTTCTACCACATTACTAAACTACCCACTTAATTTCCTATTACTATAAATAGTGACCCTGAATTTCTTCCCACTCCTGTGGTGTCTCAAACCGCTACACTGAGAACTAGACTAACATCCAAAGCAAATGCAAGTACCTTCATCCTCTACTATGTGTAAGGGAAAAAAAAAGTCATACAAAAACCCACGTGTTTTTTAAACACCTCCTCTAAAGATCATGTGTGATTTTTATGACAACTCACACCAGAACCTGCATTTATTGCAGCTTATAAAACTTCAGAAATAATAAGCTTACAGCAGGGAGCAAATGTTTTTCCAGTTCTCTTCTTGCAATGTAAATTAGGTTTACAATGCTTGACATCATGTTAGAATAAAGTATGCACATTAAGTCCAGAGTTACAGACTTTATTCTTGAGATAAGATCTAAATGATACTTCAGAATGACTTTAGCAGTAAGTTCTTCACCGAAACTATCCTAAGCTATATTACTAATTACCTATATTACTAATTAGCCTATCATGACAGATTAGTAGACAGTCTTTTAGTTCTATAAGCACTTTTTCACCATTATTGTGCCTGCATCAAACTTACAGATAAATCTGCATTTCTCAGAAACAACCCTCTGGGAGTAACTTTATAATTAAGGTTGTGAAATATGGCAAAAACAGACGACCAATGGACCTAATAAGAACACCATTAATTCTAACCCCTTAAATGGAGGATTAGAGTTTCTTAATTATACTCTCAGCAGGCCCAGCATCTTGAAGATTTTTTTCTTTTGTTAAATTCCAATATTATGTTCCTTACTTGGACACACTGTCAAAGGTTCCCTGACTTGATTGTGAAAACCCACACCAACTTGTGTCACCACTGATTAGCATCCCTTCCTGCTGAAATATTCCTAAGTATGGTAAAAAGAAGCTTCAGAAAATGAAAACTATTTGGGCTTCACCCAGAGATTTGCACTCTTTGAGGATGGCAATGGTTTACCTCCTCAAATACATGGGCAGCTTAAAGCATTCTTTAATATTATTAATTTAATAGCAGTCTTAAACAACATTCTTTTGCCAACCACACCTAAAAAAAAAAAAAAAGGGGTGCACCCCTCAAAATCTCTGTACAAAGTTGACTCTAAACAGTAAGTTGGATGACCAGCTTCCAGGGCAGCAGCACGCTAACAGGACTAGCCAAATGCTGCTAACTGGCCAGACAAACTGAAAAAAATTCTCCTGAACTTTAGCAATGCTTATGCTCCTCAAAACAACAGAAAATAATTTAGTTCCAGGTATGTTCTCTGCAATCCATCATCCTAAATGGTTCCGAAATAATATCCAACTGTTCCACAATACTGAGCAGCTGTCCAGTAGAAGAGAATGCACAGTTATCACAGCAGTACTATCAATTACACCAATGTCCAAATTTATATGAAATTAAGAATAGCTTCTGACTGCTTTTCTGCTTCAGGAATCTGATTTTCAAATGAAAACTTTCTTGCTGGACAAGAACAAAAGCAGAGCACTCAATTTTCACTCTGAGAAAAGAACTGAGAAATAGCACTACGGCTTGACAACTTTTGGAAGTTTCCCGACAACATGAGAGCTTACTCTACCAGATGATTTTATCTTATGAAGCCTGCCAAGAAATTCATCCAGATAATAGCACATTCCCAAGGGGCCTCGGAGAAGAGCCCAGGGACACTTTCCGGGAGACTTCACCATTCCCATTTCCCTGGCACAAATCCAGTTAAGTGATGTATAAAGGTAGTAGGCTCCTGAAAGTAGACTGTCACCAACTGAACAGCCTGCTGCTCCTCAGGTCTCCCTCAGGAGACACCATGAAAAGGATCAAAAGAAAGAAACTGTGTTTATCAGTGAAAATTAGCCTATAGGCCACTATTTGCTTTTCCAAGAACAATTTGCAATTGAGCGGTTATTTCCCTCTCCTCATACAGTACATAGAATAACGCTTTTGAAAAATATTAACTGGTGATCATATTAGGCAAGCACAATAGGTAAGGTGTTGGCATCCTCAGCAGACAGAGAACAGGAAATAAACCACTGAAGTAGCTGCTGAGTGCCACTGCCCTGCACTGGGAGACTCGCGGTGCTGACAAGCACATCCACTGGACAGAGCTCTAGAGAAGTCCATTCACAGAGCCTGAGCTTCCCTGCCAGCCAGCAGCCTTAGGAAGTAAAAAAAGTGAACATCTGCCAGAACTTGAGCCTATCACTTTTTAATCTTATTAGTTCAAATCATTCTCACAGATAATATTACCAATGTTTCAATCCTCTAATGGTCCGTGGAAAACTGGCAGGCAGTACAATCTCTTCCTCACTTTCAACTGCCAAATTACATTAGAAGACAGTAAGAAATTATTTACCGCTTTCCAAATAACTCAGTCAACTTTGCTACCAACAAAATCATTAACTGAAGTGCAGTCTTCAGGTTAAAAGTGTTCTTAACAGTTCAAAATGAGAAGAGCAAGCTATGCCTTACTGAGATGCAACAAAGAATTTCTGAGGACATACATGCAGAATTCATGTCACAGTACTTTGTTTATGCACTAATCCTTTCCTCTCAAAAGATACATACTTTTCAGACAGTTTGGGGGGGTTTACTTTTTTTTTTTTTTTTTTTTTTTTTAAGAGTTTGAAGAACTAAATTGGAGCCAAGACTTTTAAAGTTGGCTAAACCTTAAGAAACAATGTATCGATGATGTTGAAAGTTACAAAGAAATTGTTTTCAAGAAACTTACAGAGTGTTAAACTGCTGTAGGAAAATAATGGGGAGGTGGATGGGGAAGGTGGGATACTGAGCCACATATGAGAAAAAGTCCCTTTGTATTATTGTGATTCCCCGGACAAAACTTTTATCACTCAAAGTAAAACAGATGTCAGCAGCAGGCTGAAGACAAACTATATTACACAATCACAAATCAGACATACAAAATTAATTTTTAACTGCCCATATATAATTTTATCTTCAGTTTGGACACAATCAGTAATAAGCATAATTTTTGTCAAGTAAAAACCAGACATTTCTTCTCCATCTAGTCTGGCCTCGGAAGAAGCAATTTGGGCATGACACCTGATCACAACACGCCAAGTTCCACTTGAAAAAGAAAGCTCCCACAGGAATCCACTTTAAAGCACTAAATACAAGACGCTTTGACGATTTTCTCATGCCTGTCTGTGAAGCAACTGTAGATGGTGCTTTCTACAGTTCATCCTTTCAGCAACGCTCCAGCGCGGACCTTCCTCACCGCTTGTTTTGCTGTGCTGGGCAGGTCGGCCCGTCCCCCACGGGCACCCTGCGCTCGCCCCCAGCCCCAAGGCCGGCAGGGCCCGCAGGAGCCCCGCGCTGTCACCGCCCAGGCCGCAGCCCCCGCCGGCCCCAGCGGGAGGCGGCCCCGGCCCGGCCGCACCGTGACCAACAGTTCCCGGCCGGGCCGCCGCCGATCCCGGTTCCCGATTCCCGGTTCCCGGCGGGGCGCCTGCGAGCCCGGCTGGGGCGGGCCGGGGGAGCGGGGCCGGAGAGCGGGGCCGGCCGCCCGCGGGGTTCCCTCGGGGGGAGGCCGGGCCAGGGCGCCCCGGGAGCCACTTACCCACATCCTGGTCGAAGGGGTTGGTGGCGAACAGCGGCATGGCGGGGCGGGGGGCGCGGGGCGGCCGCCCCTCCCGGCAGCGCGGCGGCGGCGGGCACGGACGCAGCAAGACGCGGCGGCGGCGGCTCCTCCCCCAGCCCCGGGCACTCCGCCGCCACCCCCTCCCCGCGCCGGGCACCGCCTCCCGCACGGCACGCCGGGAGCCGCGGCTGGAGCGGGGCGCACCGGCACACGGCGCTCCGAGGGGATCCCACAAGCGGCCCCCGCACCGGCCCTACCGCCCAGGCCCCGTCGTAGGGTCGGCACGGCGACTCTAGGCGGGGTTTATACTGTTTAGATCTGCGGAGCTCTTTCGCGCGTCCCTAGTTAGGAGGCCAGTCGTGTTTGTGTCCAGACACGTCTGCTCCCCATAGAAAATTTTTGGAGCTTCCCTATATGATGGGCTGACTTGAATCTTTTCGTTGTTACTGCCATCGTGCTTGCGACGTGGGTATCCTGACGGCAAAGGTTCAGGCTGGCAGCTTTGACAACATTTTTCACAGCTTGGCATGGGAGCCTTACCACTTCTCCACGGTTACATCCTTTGGAGACCAGTAGCTGTCAGCTGGTAACAGGGCCTGGAATATCCCGTGGCTTTTGGTTGCACAGTCCTGTTTTGCTGCTCCACTTCGTAAGAGTATGTTGCTGGCTTCAATAGGGTGTGTCCCGCATTAACAATGTGACTCACAGTGATGCCTTTTAGGTAACAATAGGATAAGACACATTCTGCCTATTCCTCCTGTCACAGAAAACTCAGACAGTCTTTAAGGCCTTTTAGCACTCTTTGATCACTATGAAGTAGTTGTATTGTAAATTAAGTAAAACTGGGGTCATGTATACACTTGCGGGAAGAGTCAGACACACAGCAATGAGGGCACATCACAAGAGTGCAAACAAGATATGAAAAAGGTACTACTACTGTTTGAAGTGCAGAAACACTAGATGCAATCAATAGCACTAACCATGCTAAATGTGATTACTTTCATTAGGCAGACTTCTGACAAATCAAATGAAAACTGTACACCAAGCCTTTTCCCGAAGGGATTTACAATCACTAGGCACTTTTTTTACTGAATTTTACTGTTATTTTACTGAATTTTTGGGGGGGATCTCTAGATCTGCTTCTTTACCTATCCACAACAACTATTCTCAGTAGGTGATGCAGGTCAGCATTGATCTACTGCTTAGAACTGACTACTTGTAAGGAATAGCATGTTTTCTTTGGATTCCGCCTCAGTTCGATGACATCTGCTAGATATTCTCAGAGGATGCTTTGCCTCCTCACCATTCATCATCCCCCATTATGTTCGCAAAAGACATATGGTAGATGTTCTTTGAGCCTTTTTTATCCCTTCCTTTTTCATCCCTCTGTTCTAGTGGCTTTCAAAAGGAATTGTAAGAATCCTTTCAAAACAAGCAGAGCTTTCATGCAGAAGTTCTACAGGAAGAGCAAGTCATGGGGAACTGGGGTTTTAGACTGTCTTCAGCCTGAAAGGATTCCAACCCAACTTTACTTTCCAACACCCTACTCAACATTTTGAAAAAGGTAATCTATACTCAGGGACCATCTTAAGGCTCTGTGTTCTTTGCTCATATTTTAATTCTGCAATGATTTTTTTACTGTTGAACACAGTGTGAAGTACAAGAGTCCTTTGAAAACTCCACATTCTTGTATCTCCATCTTTTCCCTGTATCATGGTCCTAGTATTTTTCCGTGACACAGCAATGAGTGGTGATTAGAGCACTTTTCCACAAAGTGTGGGGTTTGCCCTCTTATGCACAAATGGCTACAGAAACTAGCCTTATGTGTGAGTAGCATAATGGCTGTGCTATTAAAAACAGGTGTGTTAATCTTCCTTTATTGGATGTAGTTCAAAATGTTTGTATTATTTCCTACTGCTGCCTAAGTTAGCTATCTAAAAGTAAAGAGTCTAGTTCAAAGGTACAGTCTCAAATTGCATCTAATTTCAGGGTATCTACAGCTGATAGAGAATGTGACAACACTGCACTCCCTGTGCCCACAACTATGTGCTGCCACCACATATCTCATATTAGATTTGGAATTGGATCCATTTCATTTGTGGCTGCACAATCAGCTGATCCAGACAAAAACTACCTCACTGCAGAAAATTCCCTGTTGGATCACGTCATGCTTCTGACTCATCTTGGAATTAGATCAGGCAAGTGAAGAGGTGGGAAGGCATGGCTAGGGACAGTACTTCAGCAGACTGGGTGAGGAAAAACAGGCATGTCCAGGGGATAATTCATCTGCTCTATTTCAGACCTCATTCCAAAAGATGGTTTCAGCAACAGTGACTCTGTTGATTTCACAGAGGAGATTATCTACCCAACAGTTCTCTGACATAGGGCTTGTCTTTAGAAAGCCTTATAGCAAGTTTTAAGCAAGTTCTTTTCTAAAAATATGTGCTACTTTTGTCCAAAGTAAACAGTCTCAGATGATTGGTATGGACATTTCTTCTCTCTTTGAACACTCCTTTTTTTTATGTAGTACTGTTGTTTGGGTACAGTTAAGTGATCATAGAATCATAGAACAGTTTGGGTTGGGAGGGACTTTAGAGACCATCTTGCTCCAACCCCCCTGCCAGGTCACTCAGAGCCCCATCCAATCTTGCCTTGAACATATTCAGGGATGGGGCATTTCCAGTGTCTTTGGACAACCTGATCCAGTGCCTCACTGCCGTCATAGTAAATAATTTCTTCCTAATATCTCAGCTAAATCTTTCTGTTCTAAAGCTGTTACCTTTGTCTTACCTATGCCTTTGCAATGTCCTTGTAAAAGTCCCTCTCCATTTTTCTTGTAGGCCCCCTTCAGATACCAGAAGGCTGCAATGAGGTCTTCCCAGAGCCTTCTCTTCTCCAGGCTGAATAACCCCAACTCTCTCAGCCTGTCTCTGTATCAGAGGTGCTCCAGCCCTGTGATCATCTTTGTGGCCTCCTCTGCATTTGCTCCAACAGGTCCACATCCTTCTTGTGTTGGGGGCCCTGGAGCTGAATGCAGTACTCCACGTAGGGTCTCATAAAAGCATATATTCAATTACTTTCCAGCGTAACTTACTTCCTGGATTTTAAAGATGTGACATACTTCTAAATTGGCTTAAGTAAGTGTTTTATTTATGTTGGTTTGTTTATATAATTTATTACTTATTTTTTTTATTTGTGACAAGAGTTTATCCATAGAAAGATTAGTTCTGGATTCTAATGATATACAATGATTCATTTCCCTATATTCTTCTGGTAGGAAAGGATACTTAGGAACAGCAAATTGTAAATTACAATCTGCTAGGGAAGTTCTAATATATTTTACAATCACTCAACTGACATACATCTGCATTAGATAAGCATTTTCTTAGAGGAAGGCAAAAACATTGTGGCCGTGGAGGCTAACTGCAGTTCCAGTTTACTGGGGGTGTTTTACTTGTCCTGCCTATTTATTTTAGCACATACTAGTTTTATGGTTACTGCATTGTAAAGATAAGGTGTATAATGCCAGGAAAAAGTCAGGCCACTACACTTTTAGCATGAAGACAGATATGAAGAACAATAGTTATCTCATGACAACCACTGACCTTTCTTCTAACTGCATTTTCATTATAGTCCACTTGTGTACATTGCTTTTGGAACTGCAAGCTGTGGAGAAGTGATAATCAAAGGAAAAGAGAAAGGTTCAGAATAGAGAAAGTGCCAGCAGTCCATTTAATCACAGCTTTTGTCTTTGACTGGGCAAGTACAAGATGTTTTAGATGGCACATGAGATGCTGTAATGCATAACAATACAATGATATGACTAAGACAAAATTTATCCCAGTCACAGGGCACATGTAAGTGTTCTAAGTACTGGACTACAGTGATTTATTTCCTATCTATAATCTTGTTGTACACGTCCTAATATTTTGTTTATATATTCCTCAGTCTCTGAATTCAAAGCAGTACTTGCAAACCAAGTCATGTGAAGTAATAGTTTATATGCTTACACCACAGTTTTGTTAAATAATTTTGGATAACAAGTTCACTGAAGTCAAACACAAAATATGTTTATACCATTTGCTTTGGTAAGCTTATAGTGATGTATTGTAATGTATCTGTAAGAGGCAGATCATCTGGAAGCTGCTGACTGCTGGGATCTCTGGGTGCCTGGGCTTGCCTGGCCAGAGCATCACTCTGTGCCAGCCTCCTGACACTGCCGTAGGGAACCACTTGTCCTAGTGCTTTTTTTGGCACAAACACCTGTTCTCAGTGTGACCAAACTGACTACACCCAATATGGTCACCTTTTCTTGCTGATATCTCAGACCAGTTTTCAACCAATGATGAGGTTAAAATTAATCTTTTTGTTGTCCACCACTCTTTGAAGAAGGAAATAGAAATACTTCCACTGACCATAATGGGCATTAGATTGGAACACTACTCACTTGATAAAGAGCCCTTTTTAACTCAAGTCCTTGAAAAATACCTAAATAACAAGCTTAGGTTGTGTGTACTCTGAAACTAATAAGGGGAGCAGTCTCCTCTGTAGAGTTTGTAGTGCTCACACAAGCAAGCTATCATTGAAATATACAGAAAACAAGAAGGTATTTTTAGAATTATCGAAATGTGTTTTGTGAAACCCTGTGAAAAATTTGCCTAGTATCTGTTGTCAAGGTAGCAAACCTTCTATATTTAAGAAAAATATTACTTTTATTGTGTAATATGGTGAAGGGAATTTAAGAATATGCTTATGCTAGCAGTTAATTTTCAACATATATTTTATTTAACTCACATGAACAGTACCACTGAAGTTAGTAGTATTATATTAAGTTTTGAGCATTTTATATATATACACGCCATTAGAACATTAGAGTGGAGTTAGCTTCTTGATACATCTAGTCTGCAGTGTGTAAAGGTGCCAACTGCACAGATCACACTCTGTGGGATGGGTCTATACATAAATCTATCCAAGCCTAGCAATGCAATGAAACATCGGGATAGTTCAACAGTGTTACAGTCTAAAATATCCCATAAAGAAATTAATAGTTGTACAGAATTCAATTTATCTTTTATAGCAAAAAGTACATTGAGTTTGGATAAACTGAAAACTCAGACAAACCAAACTCAAATGAGCAGGATACTCATCTCCCTTTAACATATCTCTTCAGCGTTGCAGTTTGTTATAGTTTTGTTCCTGAAGAGGATTAAATAGAGCAACACACAAGGACATCTCCGACTGGTTCTTTTCGAAACATTAAACATATCAGTAGTGTTCAGATATATAGAATCAATAGTTTTCATACAAAGCCTTCTAAATATTCACACCATAATTTTTGTATTTTTATAACAGAAAGAGAAACTTCCACTTCAGACTGTGTTCATGACACTTGTTTTCCTTTGCTGACTACTCTGCTGCACAGTCAAAGGCTTAATATGAATAATTTATTTTGCAGTAGCAGTGCACAGCTCCAACTGCTTCAGATGTGCCAAATGCAAGCACTGCTTCTAGTTCTTCCCACAAGATTTATGGAATCCATTCTACTCCACATCTTTTGAAAGCATCTTCTATCAAATTCCTAGAGTAGTAAATAAAATAATAGATATACACATATGGAGGAATTCACCAAAAGACATGTAGACATTGTGTTGTTCAATTTAGACATAGCTAAATCCTGTTTATTTGATTTATTCTTGAATTCCTCACTGATTACTACATACCATAAACCTAAAATAGTGTGCAAGTACTATATGTAAGTCTGTTGTCTAAACACGTTCTTGAAGTGTGTTGAGAACATTAACTGAATACAGGGCAGAAGGACAAGCAGAATTTAAGTTGTTTATTTTTTTAAGAAATTATCCTTCCTCGGGATTTTAACTCACTGTCTGACATTTAACTACTCTGAAGTATAAAGGTAATCTCATGATTCTACATGGCTCATACCAAGTAATTCTTGCAGTGCTTCATAGTAGATGACCTTCCTCTGTGATATTTGAGCTGAAAATATTATTTTCAAAGCACTAAAATTTTCCATTTCATAGAAGTTTTCCCCTATTGAATAGATAAATTTTGTAACCAAAAAAAAAAAAAAAATTGTAAAGCACTTCGTGAGAAAATAAAACCCATACAGCTTTATAAGGTATTGAATATCTACATATGCAATACAAATCTAGAAGATAAATATATATTGACAATTTCAATATTGAAGAAGATCAGAAAACCACTCATTTTTGTAACAACAGTATAGCTGTGTTGAGTCAATAGCTGGGAAAAACTGCCTAGGAAGGTGGAGAATGAATATGAATCACAATGATGCTCTCACCTACAGCACAAAAGACCTTGATCTGAGCATCTTAAAATTTATTGGGAAGGTTGATTTCACACTGTACTTGAATAACGGCAAAGTTGAACTCAATCGATAAGCCAGTCTAAATTAATTTTAAAAGCTGATTTAGATAATGCAATTAATGCACAAGCCTATTCAGTTCCATTGATTGCATTTCTGTATGCAAACCAAATCTGTTTTGTGAATAATTGTGAGATTTTTTTATGGGGTCAAAAGGTGCTAGCTGAAGTTGAAATACTAGACAAAATAATTTTGCCACTATATGCTTTGAGCATAGCTGGCACTTCATAAAATTTAAATAAAGGATTCAGAAAATACAGACTAATAAACCACAAATATATACAATATAATTGACAGAAATAATAATTGAAAGAACAACAATAGGAAACTTACGAAAAGGAAATTACGTTTCAACTAATCTATTGTCATTCCTGGAACATGTAATTACAAAAACAGATTTGAAAAAAATAACATTAACACAACAAACACATTTTGAAAATGTGCTGAAAAACTGTTACACAGGAACGACCAAGGATATGAAGTAGTTGCAGAGTAAGGAGCAAAATATCTCCATGGATCAAACCATGGAAAACAGAAGAAAAAGAGCAAGTTCATTATAGCAAAATGAAAGCAGTGGGGTGCTTATGAAAGTTCTGTAATAAGTTTTGTGCTTAACACATTAATAAGTGGTCGGGAAACATAAACAAATGTGGGATGGCAAAACTTTCAAATGGCACTAAATATTTAGTTTATTCAAATCCAAAAGGATTATGGAGATATTTAGAAAGTTCTCGTCAGTTGGGTGAATGGGTAGTGGGATAGCAAGAGAAATTGTAAGCTCATAAATAGCAACTGCAATATTAGAGAAAAAACACTGAGATACTTATCCTAAGTTCTTAATTGACTAAATCAACTCTAGGCAAACCTGGTCATCCTTACAGATAGTGTGTGCATCCAAAATCAATAAATCTGAGCAAATAAATAGGGGAAGGAAAGTAATACAGAATTCTAATGAGAAAGTATCAAACACTGCTTATCAAATTTCAAAAGATTGTATGCAAAAGCATGGAAAACATCCAAGGAGGGATATTAAAATGGAAAATGTTTACTTCAGAAAGCAAATAGGATTTGTTCCCTCAAATCTGTTGTGCAAAAAATCTCAAGAGGAAAATGGCAAAGGATAGCTAAAAGTAGTAAAAAATAAAAACTAATAATAAAAATTTGGATCAGGTCACACCTGTCTCCATGTATCATAATTAAAAATGAGAAAGTCTTCATCAGTTAATGAAGTCATAAATTGACAGAATCAAATGAGACAAAAACCACTTTGCTCATAGTACGTGGTTAATTTGTGATGCCCATTTTAACACTGCATTGTCAAACCAAGAATTAGAAAGGTTTGAAGAGAGAAGTGACATTTGAGCAGAGAAAAGGTTTAAGTAAGATAGCAGGAATATCCAGAATAAAAATAGTAAATATAGAAAATATTGGAAAGCTAGAGTTTAAACCAATTTATAACAGTTACACTGAGATAAAATGTAGGCTCAGATTATCCCAAATATTGGCAAAAAATTTTGAGTTAGGTCATTCATTACACACAATCCTGTGTGTACATTATTTTGTCTCATGTTTTTAACTACAGGATTCTCAAACTGGGTTATATTTATGACTTGAACATGAAAAGCATCTGTGTATTTATAATATTGGTACCTACTGTAATCTTACTCTCATAGATATTGTGCTGTTTTGCCAAGTATTCATTTTGCATACACATATATTTGCTGTTGCCAGTGGGTATATATTTTAAGGCTGAAAGATGAATGTCTGCTTGTGTGCTTTTGTGAGGAGGGGGAGACTTAGTTTTTGCATGGAACATATTTTCTGTGAAGGCCCTCAAACTGAGACCATCTAGATGTTTTTAACATTGAGATAACCTACTCCATCCTAAAGTAGAGAGACTTGGACTCTTGAAATTCTTTAGGACTGACCAAGTAGCATTTCAAAAATATCCTGACTCAGTTTTGGAATTCTTCTGTCAGTATATGCCTGTGTTTGTGGTGTTTGAGCTAAGTTGGCCATGGTCACCATGCTTAGCTGCAGAAACGAGGAGCCCGTGGCTACATGTACGCTGCCCAAGTAGCGAACGGCATCACCAGGCTGGCACAGACTGAAACAGGTGTCATGATAGCAGGTGCAACCCACACCTTTGAAGGGTCATGTCACATCAGCTTAGCTCAGGTTGAGGCTGTCCCCCTTCTAGAGACAGTCCCTTCAGTCTCCCTGTGCTGGCTTAGCTTCCCTGTGGGTGTGCACAGAGAGCAGAGTTACAAGGCAACATGCATATTCAAATGTCATCCTTCAGTCTGCCAGCTGGGTGCTCTTCAGTCCCTTGGAAGAAATTTCCCCCTTCTCAGGTGTGGGCCTTAGTGTTCCTCATGTTCTGAGGATGGTATTTATGGAAATCTACCGGCCTGGGAGATGTTCTCTCCCCGAGGTCAACCCTGGCAGGTCACCCTGTTTGGCCTCTGAGAGGGGGACCTTGGGCATATTCCCACCACTCGGTCTCTGAGCAGACTTCCAGATGTTCAACCTCAGACACACATTTCTGTGTTTCCATGAACTTCACTATTTTCTGTCACTTCGGCTGGGGTGGGCTATGCCCGCTGCTGCCGCCTGAGGCCAGGTACCACGCCACAAGGATCTCCCTCCCGATGGAGGCTCGCCCGCCCCCGCCGGGTCTGACTGACCCGGGGAGCCCCACGGGGCGGAGGGAGGAGCGCCCTGGGCCATGTGAGCAGCTGGCGGCGGCAGCGGCCTCGGGGAAGACAGATGGGGTGAGAGACAGCGCGGGTCCGGCTGTCAGCGGCCGAGCCCCGCCGCGGAGGGAGCCCCTCCTCCCGCCGTGCGCGCCCGGCCGGGGCAACCATGGCGTCCAGCGAGGAGGACGGAGCCGGTAACGGCGCGGTGGAGGAGAAGGAGAAGGGCAAGAAGCGGAAGCTGGGCGCCCTGGCCACGGCCTGGCTCATCTTCTACAACGTCGCCATGACCGCGGGGTGAGCGGGCGCGGGCGGCAGCGCGGCGGCTCCGCGGGGCGCGGAGCGGCGGGGCCGGGGCAGCGCGGCGGGGGCGCGGCGGGCCCGGGGGCTGCGGGGCGGGAGAGCGGGGATGCGGGAGAGCCGCCGGGACCGGGGCTACCCTGGCCCGCCGGGCATTGCCTAATACGGTGCAGCGCAGCCGGCCGCCGGCGCCCGCCGCCGAGGTTAAGTATAGCCGGCACCGGAATGCCGGGCGGGATGGCGCGTCCCTCGGCTGAGCTGCCGCCGCCCGCCTCCGGATGGGGAGGCGAAAGCGCCCCTCGGTGCCGCCGAGAGCTTCACGCCCCGGGATCCCGCGTGGGGCAGCGCCTTTGGTTCCGTGAGCCCCGGCTCTGGCAAGCAAAGCCCACTCCGGCTCCCGGAGGGGAGAGCGCAGCCCGCAGAACCGGCGGTCATTGATGATGAGCGGGGACGGGTGGAGGGGAAAGCGTTGCAGTAGCCCAGGGGATTCATTTGAGCTTGTGCTGCGAGGCTTTGCTCTAAGGAAAGTGGAACAGATCATAAGAACACTCAGGTTTATGCTATTAGTGCTTGACGCACATATTTCCATTTAATGAAAATTTGCCCTGTTCACTAATTATTGGGGGAAAATACCTTCAACTTATTAATTTCCACATGCTTAAAAGAAAGCTAGGAATGAACCATTTTATAACTTCTAGTATGATATTCATCAGGAGAACAGTTTTACTTTGGTTACCAGTGAGTGAACTCTCTGTCCTTTGAATTCCATGATGCAAAACTGACATGCTGTAGTTGAAGCAGGAGTTCAGGTACTGATGGAGAAAGCCAGGAGTATGATCTTTTCTTCTCTCTATCATCTGTGAATCTTGAGCATGTATTTCAGTCTGTTCATATATTGCTGCAGCACCTTTCGAAAAGTGCTTTTAATGAATGTAATTTTTTTCTAGCTGGCAGGTTACAGTTACCTCATTGAACTCCCAGACTTGTGCTCCATGTGTGAATTTGCTAATGAACACTGACTCTTGTCACGGACTTTTATTTGTCTCTAAAAGATTATCGAACCATATTAGTTTTGACCTTAGGTGCAGCTTCAGTATCTCCCACTTCCTTCTCTTCCATCTGCCATTCTTATCAAAAAGGATTAAGACATGCAAAATTTGATATTTTATGTGAAAATGAAGGAAAAAAAAAAGAGCTAGGAACAAATTTTTTAATCTTTTATGGGTACAATTTCAGAGAAAAATAAACTTAGGAAATAGAGCAATATTTAACAAAGGTGCTACCCAGGATAAATAAGTAGCTAGAACAGCATATTTGTCCAGTTGTCCAGACAGTGCAACGTAGCAAAGTGTTTCCAGAGTTTTAACAAAATAATGCATAACAGCATTATCTTTCTAACACAGGTTTAAGAGACTAAAGTGACAGATGAATACCCAGTCTTACTGAAGCCCCAACTGGAAATGCTACCTTTATTTTAGGAAGTGTTTTCCATTTCCTTGTGATTTGCAATACTGAGTACAAGGGCTTTCCTGAGATCCAGAGTCAAAGCCACTGACACCTAAATAAATCCACCCACAGAAATTCATGTCCACATAAAAATTTATTTAAGAAAAATGTATTTGCAGTCTTTGCTTCTGAGTGTAGTCCAAGATTACTTCTCTCTGCAATGCTTTGGTTATGGAACAAGATACAGAAAATGTCTTGTTAGGTAAGATGTATTATGACTTCTCAGTCTAGGGCTAGGACAGAGCTGTTGCTGTCACCATTCATGCTGCCAGCTGGATGTAAACTCGCTGTCACCCTCTTCTTGTTAAAGTCTTCCCTATAAAACAGAGCAGCTTTACTATGGAGAACTACACGTGATATTTCAGTAATTCCTCATTTCTGCAGTGGTGGGAGACTACCTGAAATAAATCCACTCATATTTAAAATCCATTATAAAATCTAAGTGACATTTGCAGGGGAAAATTTTGGAGCTCTGGCAGATCAGATTCATGGGCTTAAAGTAGAAGGGATCAAGGAGGGGAATCATTCCTACCGTGTGGGTAAGCCTGACTAACTATGTGAGTTTGAAATGCTGTCATGAAATGCTGGAATGGGCCACGCCAAGTGACTGCATAGCAGTAGCCACCTTGCGTAAGAGTTGTTAAGGGGCTGATACTGAAGTACGTGCCATCCGAGGTGAACGAGGGCTTGTCACAATCCACGCGACTCTCACGCTGTTACAGCACAAGGGATCTGACCAAATGATTAGTATTTCCTGGTGCCCTGTTTCCAGTATTAGCCAATACCTTATGCTTAGGGCGGAGTATAGGAATGGCAGATGAGTTAAATATTTATCCAAATGTTTATGTAGGTATTTCTCTGAATGTTTATGTGCTCTCTGAATCTGCCTCTGAGTATTTCTCAGACACCTCTGCTTTGTCACTTGGGCCCATCCTTAGCCAGAGCTCATGTCACATGCTTGCTATGGCCTATAGAGAATGAAAGAACTCAGTAATTTTTCCCAGTATCATCAGACAAGAAGTTAAACTAAAATTGTTATAATTTTGGGGGTTTATTTTTACCTCTCAAAATAGCCATCCATAGCTCTGGTTATGCCTGTGTCTATATTAGAGAATTTTTGTACTTTCTTTAGTCTTTGTGGAAAGTTTTGATTCATCTTGCTAGTTTGATGTCTTATGAATGTGGTGTAGCTCTGAAAGGTTGAGAGAGTTGAAGTTGTCCAGTATGGAAAGGAGAAGGCTCTGGGGTGACATTACTGAGACCTTTTGGTACCTGAAGGGAGACTGCAGGAAAGCTGGAGAGGGACTTTTCACAAGGACCTCTAGTGATAGAACAAGGGGGAATGGCTTTAAACTGGAAGAAGGCAGGTTTATATTATATATTAGGAAGAAGTTCTTTACTGTGAAGGTGGTGAGGCACTTGCATACGTTGCCCAAAGAACCTGTGTTTGTCCCATCCTTGGAAGTGTCCAAGGCCAGGTTGGATGGGGCTCTGAGCAACCTGGTCCAGGGGAAGGTGTCCCTGCCTGTGGCAGGAGGGTTGCAAGTAGATGAACTTTAAAGTCCTTTCCAACGCAAATCATTCTATGATTCTATGATTAATGAATGTATAGTACACTCTTTTGAAAATCTTAATTATATAAATACAGATTTATTATGTGGAAGGAACTGCACATACCTTGGGTTATTGTACAGAGTTTGGGCTGACGGTGGGGATCAATCAACCACAGTTTAGTAGTTTACTTTTCTTTAATCTCAATTTCCATTCAATTTAAGTTTTGTATCAAGTTCTAATATGACTAAAAGATACTGTTACTCTCTTTCTTTTACATTGGAAGGATTATTAGTTGGCATCATTGTTCAGCTTCCCCCCCCCCCAACAAAAAAAAAAAAATTCCAGCATCCTCAAATGTACTAGTTAAATATACCTGCCTCTGGAAGCCAGGAGCATAGAACACCCATCTTTCAGCACTTTGCCACCTGATTTTTAAAGATCACTTCTCAACACTATTGAAAACACAATAGTAATGGTAACTTCAGTTGGACAATCACAAACAGATCACTACTCAGTCCCCTAATCGATGAGTTGAGAGGCTGTGAAAAATGTAAAACTGATGTGCATAGGTTCTGGTCCTTTACTCATTCAAACCTGCCACCTAAACAGTGGCTTCAGTGCCAAGTTCATTGTGTGTTTTCAAATAACAGTAATTTGCGGTAGAGATGCATGAGGACTTAATAGTAAAAATATGTAGTCCCTACTAGTGAAAAGTCAGATGGATGGGTGGTTTTGGGGGGTTCCCTCAATTCAAGTCAGTCCTCTAAAGGTAGCAAGTCATTCTCCATCCTTTTCCAAGTAAAGAGATAAGAGTGTAGTGTTTACATAACATTATAATGTTTATATCTAAAGATATTTTTTATGATCTCAGAACATTGACAAGTGAAGAAGCAAAGATATTCTGTAAAGAAAAATACTCTACTAAATTATTTACAGTGGATGGATATTTTTAGAATTCTAATTTGAAATGTATCCATTCTCTTTCTTTTGTAGGTGGCTGGTATTAGGTATTGCCATGGTGCGGTTTTATATACAGAAAGGAACACATAGAGGCTTATTCAGAAGCGTTCAAAAGACGCTTAAATTTTTCCAGACATTTGCTTTGCTTGAGGTAAATTTTAAACATTAGTTTGCTTTACTGGATACTGCATATCATAGGCAAAACACATTATTATCCTGAATTTAAAATCAAAATATTATATTAGTACTAAAAGTCCTTTTAATTTTATTATTTCATAAAGGCTTTTTATTATTTAATGAAGGGGGGCCAAGGTGATTACTTGAAACAAGTAGGCACATTTTTTTCAAACTTGATTCTAGTATTTCTTTAAATCAAACAGTGCCTGGGAACTGCTTTTATTTGAGAATCTTGAATGAAAAAAACAAAATTTGAAAAGCATTCCAGCCAGCAGATCAACCCTCTAGCATAGTAGGTATTTCACCACCATCTCCAGAGATTATAGTTTACTTATTACTCCTTATACTGGACTTAGTATCCTTTGTGCCTTTTCTGCTTCTGTTTATTTCTGGACCAGATTCACGTACATCTGTTGAAGGAAGCTGTTGGGTTTATTGAGCACTTGCAGTTCTTTCCTAGGCACAACAAAGAGTGCCTATCTACAGTTTAACTTTTTTCCTCAATCTGCCTACAACACTTCTATTTCAAACTATTAAAATCATGTCAACAGCTGTATATAGTAAAATTCTCTCCTGTAAAATTCTTCTTTGAATAAGGTAATGGAAGGGAAGCTTACTAGTTGAAAATGAAATGCTTTGTAAATATTTAATTGTCTGATATATACAATTAGTTTTGAAACTAAATGTCTTTCATGTGTTTGCACAGCTGAAATCCTGAGCCCATTGGTTGCCAGGGCTCGGCCGTGAATTTCTTTTAAAGACTGTTAGTTGGAGGCAAAAGAACCTTCCCTTCAGAATTAAGCCTAGCTTTATATTAATATCAAAAGACCATGCTTATAGTGTAGCTAGTGACGTGCTGCACATCAGTAACCTCTAACTTATTTTTATTTACAGGTAGTCCACTGTGCAGTTGGTGAGTTCTTTGTTTTAGTTTCTCCTATAAGTAGTTACAACATGAACTGTGGAACAGAGATAACATGTTTCTCTTTTTAAGGAATAGTTCGCACATCTGTGCTTGTGACCGGGGTCCAAGTGAGTTCAAGAATCTTCATGGTGTGGTTCATTGCACATAGTATAAAACAGGTATGTGCATAAGCAAGTTACGTTTTGATTGTTTTTAAGGAGAAGCTATTAATACAGCTCTCATTTCACAAGGAAGACCAACTTAAAAACGAATGATAATCCTTAATGAGTATGCTTACATACTCGAGTGCAATCTTGGAAGTTGGAGTTAAAAAATGGAATTTATGTGCTTCTTCCCAGGAGACTGAGTCTGGGTCTTACCTGTGAATCAGCAGTGTCTTTGGCATTGTGCTGGCTGTGGTCAGCCTAGGCGAGATCAACGACTGCTGCTGTTATTTAGCAGCAAATCTACCACAGTGTTACCACTTCCCTTTCAAAAAATTTAATTAGCACTTGCTGAATTAATCTAAATAGAATATAAATTTATGTCTTTAAATTGATGTCTCATATTGAATTTACTTGGGTAAACATGGTTGTGATTTTGCAGTTGATTTTAGGAACTATCTCAGAATTTAAACGTTATGGTAGTATTAACATTTGATGACATGCATAAATTCATATCCAGCATTCCACAGTGACAGTTCAGGGCGTGTATAAATGGCTATGGTTTGTTTGCCCTGCTGTAGGTGGCTATGGTAAGGCTAGTGGTTCGTTAGCAGAATGAAAGAAGCAGACTGCTTACAGCTAGTAGGTAGGACATTCGGGTCAGTTTCTGAGGTCTGCTTTCTGTGAAAGGCATGTAAGAATTAAGTGAAGGATTTTGTGCTCCTGATTTTCTTCAGAACTTGAAAAGCTGAGCCATTAAACTGTCTCACCAGCAGATGGCATAGGCCTTTCTGCAAATGGGTTATCCTAGCACCTGCCTCAGTTACCAAATCTCTTTGTTTCAGTTCACGGAGAACTAATTTTCTACACTGCATCTTTTTTTTTTTTTTTTTTTAATCTAAGTGTTTTCATTTTTTCTTGAGGGAAAATGTCTCAGAGATTAACAAGGTTTTTATATTGAATGTTTACATAGAAGCTGAACTATAGCACTGCATTTTGCCATTTTTATTATTTGCAGTGGATTAAATTTTTAGCATATCCAGTAATTTATTTTATTTCCTATATCTACAGTACAGTAAGTCAAGCTTGGTCCAAGAAAAAATACATACGAATGTATGTCTGATTGTATTTCATGCTGTTATTGCTTAGCAGGCATGAATGTTCAGGGTCACTTTAGGTGGTGAGAGGCATGTCAGTGATAATAGCCAGACCCAGATCTCTCCACTTGACTGGAGATTTGCAAGGCAGCAGATAGAAATTCTCTGCATACTTATTTAAAAGCTCTTCAGCTTGGATTTAGCACTGTGACATGAATCCAAGCTTGGGTTATCTATGTTTGTCTCTAATTTCATGAGGCAAAGAACAGCCTAATTCTGTCTTTACTTTTGCTTCTTAGTTTGGATGTCTTTGCATTTCAGTTGTTCCTATTTTGTTTGTGATTTTGGTACTATTTTTATATCCCCATTTTTTCTATTATGTTGGTGAAATCCACTAAAAATGCACCTTCTCTAACTGACACAAATTAGGGGGTGATTTTATGAGCACTTACCGTTCTTCTTGACTTTTGATAGGGTTGTGGATTTTGAGCATCTTGGAGATAATAGTAAGCTTTGTCACTGTGTTGCATTTTATTTTAAAAAATCATTTCCCTTTTTTGTAATTTTAACAAAACTTGTGTTACTTTATTTTATGTCACAGACATCCCTGGAGCTTTTCAGCCTTCAGGCATGGAAGTGTATTACAAAATTCCTCCCACTTAAAGAAAAGAAAATTACTTGTGTGTAATTCTTCCTTTCAGAAGGTAGTGTTTGTAATAGATCCCCACGTGCCTTCTCTCTATTTGGGGACTTTTGTTTATTTGTTCACTGAGAGTGAAAAAGAGCCGATGTTTTGAAAAAGTAGATGTGCTGCCTACTGATGAGGCAGTTTAATGACTCAGAACTTAAACAGGATTGTTGAGTGGGTTTACCCAAAGCTCCTGATCTAGCAACTACTCTTCGAATTATGAGCCATCTGTGCTCCACCTACTTAACTATCTTAGAGCTCTCTGAAGTCTGCCAAACTTGATCTTTCGTGACCAAGTTCTAGTTAGCAGATTATACAAAGCAATTCCTTTTGTCTAAAGCTTCATGGAGATGTGCATTATACAGTGAGGAAGAAGCAAGATAAAAAGTAAGAGAAAGTCTAGGAGACAGAGTAGTGAAATGCAGGATGGTTAAAAACTGATTATGAAAAAGTACATATCTTCTGTAGCATTGTTTTGTTCTTGCTGTTTTGAGGAGTAAGAAAATAAACAAGTCGACCACAAATAAAAGAGAGAGGCCGTTAGTGTAGTGAAAATACAGGTAGAGAACAAAGAGGAGGAATAAGCATAATTATAGGGTTTTATATTTGCATAATGGATAAAGATTGCTCAGTTTGCAAAATGTCTATTAGTAAATACATTTGATAATGGACTCTACCTGGTAATGGTTTCAGCAAATCACTTTTATGACAAAATTTTCTCTTTCTACAAGTTGTTAGTTCTGTTCCATGAATCTTAAAGAGAAGTCTGTTGCATTTGCACAGAAAAGAGGCTTAAGGATAAAGAAAATGTTGGTTCTTTATACTTCTGCAGATCCAGAATGAGGAGAGCGTTATTCTTTTTCTGGTGGTATGGACTGTGACAGAGATTACTCGATATTCCTTCTACACATTCAACCTGCTCAACCATTTGCCATACTTCATTAAATGGGCCAGGTGGAGATGTCTTGCACTTCAGTTTCTCATGGTTCTGTGCATGTTAGTTTCACGCATGCTGAGCTAACACTCAGGAGAGCAGAATTTTGAGCTTTCATTATGTGTCAGTAAAGTGCAAGTTGGTTGCTTTCTGTACTTGGGATCATTGTTGCTTGGTTTTAAATGTTAAAAGTATTTTAGCTGAGATTTTTGGGGTGTGATTTGTTCTTTGCTTTCTGTGCCTCACATTTGAGCTCTGCTTTCACTTATTCTTAATTTTTTTCTTTATTTTTAGAGTCATCATTTAACTTAAGTGTGACTCTCTAAGATGCTTTTGAATACTGTGCCCAAAATTAAGCACCTGTGCTAGTCTTTGTGGATGTCAGTTCTTTGAAAACGTGGGCATTGTTGTCACTCAATCTGTGTGCATATTATTACTTTATATGAAGTTCTGCTTTATCAGAGCTTTTGTAAGATTATATCCATGTAGTGAAGTTAAATACTGACTTAGTTTAGCACACATAAAAAGTGTATTCCATGTCAAAACTATTTGGATTTTGAAGCATACTTAGGGTTGGCCACTAGATCACATATATTACGGAGACTGCCTGTTTATCAGGAGACTAGGAGAGTATTCTCTGTATTCATTATTTTTAAAATACATGTAAGACAGATTTAGGATGTTAGAAGGAAAATATCTAACCTACATTCAGTGCAGGTGACTCTTATTTAAAAGAATTTGTTATTTTCCTTCATTTTTGTTTTATAGAAAATTCAGTTTTGATGCTTCTAATATACTTCTTTAATATGTCTGATATTTATGTCCATTCCTGTAATATGTTATATTTTCGCTAGTACCTAAGGTGATAGACTTGGTTACGTTTTAGTGCTAAACATGACAAACTTAGAAATAATCAGGTTGGCAGTCATTAATAGTTTTTTATATAGGCTTCAGGAAGAAGTATACATCCATTGACAGATATACTTTTTGCCATCAGGTCAGTGTGTCTTGAATGACAAGATCTTGTTTCCTTAATATAGACAATAGGGAAAATCGATATTCTAACAGCAGAGATATATGGTGAAATATATTATAAACAAAACACTTGAAAATGTGTTATCTTTTCATAGAGTCCAAAATATCCCATCAAGATTTATGGATAAACAAACAGCATAACTGGACATAAATTCAGTACTCCCAAGAGAGCTGGAATTTCCAATCTTTAGCTTATAATTGTAAAAGATTCTCCTGTCTGTTGTTAATGGAATTTGTATGCTTCAAATTTTAGTTCAGAATTTCTGGGTTTTTTTAACTGCATAGAGACACACTGTGTGTTAAGTCATTGCATCAGTTCCTTCTAATACCTCCCCTAATCTACAATATTCCCAATGGTGCCAAGCAATAGGGCAAGAGGCAATGGACAGAAACTGATGCACAGGAAGTTCCACCTGAATATGAGGAAGAACTTCTTTGCTGTGAAGGTGACTGAGCACTGCAGCGGGTTTCCCAGAGAGGTTGTGGAGTCTCCATTACTGGAGATATGCAAGAACTGTCTGGACACAATCCTGTGCCACGTGCTCTGGGACGACCCTGCTTGGGCAGGAAGGTTGGACCAGATAACCCACTATGGTCCCCTCTAACTTGACCCATTCTGTGATTTCCCTAATCTGTACTCTGATCTGCAAGTTCTCTAAGCCCATTTACTTCTAGGAGAGTTTCATGTTTAGTTGCTGCTGTTTTGGATCTCATCTCTTTTGGTCAGGGAGTGCACACTGTGCCTTTCTCTCTGTCCAACAGCTGTCATTGCTGTTCCCTGCATGAACTGGAGAATTTTTCCTTAGGAGAACCTGCATGTCCATGGTGCACTGTGTGTAAGGACAGCACAAAGCCTTTTGATTACAGTTTTTCATTTTGTCACTGCCTATGTGGCCTATGGTCATTCAAACCACATTTTCTTTAAACTTTGCCTTTGATTTGAACATCTTCTCCCTTTAAAATGGATCTGATGAGTTTCAGGCACTGCCATTTTCTTTTATTTTTTTTATTTCAATTTCCATTAGTGGTAAATGTAGTATTATATAAATTTCCCATGTGGTAGCAAGTTAAACAGGCTGATGTTTCTCAATGTTTTCATTATCCTCAAATAAATTAAAATGCATAAAAGTTGGCCGAGTGTGCATGCACTGTGATGAAAATATGTAAGATCATCTGAATTTGGGATTTAGTCCTGGTCTGAATCCTGTCAAATGACAACAGGAGCAAGATCAGTACATGTAAAAAAAAATCATTATCGGAGACTACAAGTTTGAGGATTGTTTTATTATAAAGACATACAAACAGTCTGATACTTCACTGTTTTAAATAAAAGCACTGAAGAATGCATGCTCTGTAAATCTAAGCAACTCTCTCCAAAGTAAATGAAACTGGTGTTCTGTGCCAAGTCAGAATGTGGTCTTTGATTTTGGTGCAGGAACCACTGTAATACATTGCTGTGCCACTAATAATAACAAGAGAAAATTTTAAATTTGTGGGGTGTTTCTCACGCAGTTTTTTTTTTACTTTTTCATGCAGATACAACTTTTTTATCATTTTGTATCCTGCTGGAGTTGCAGGTGAACTGCTAACCATATATGCTGCTTTACCCTATGTGAAGAAAACAGGAATGTTTTCACTGAGACTTCCCAACAAATATAATGTCTCCTTTGACTACTATTACTTCCTTATTATTGTCATGATCTCCTATGTGCCCTGTAAGTATTATTTAACTATAGAAACATTTTAACAGCATAATAATCAGTCATCAGCAATGCTGGAAGCACTGCCTCTAGTAAAATTTGCTGAACATTTTCCACTGTAAAAGCCTGCTTTCTGTTGTTCCAAGCTTTGCTGTGCTTTAATTGGTTAGACTGAAATTTTCTGTCCTGTTATCTGTCTCAGCACATAAGCTGTCAAAAATTTCAGTGAAAATGCTAAAAGCATTTCTAAGACTTGTACAAAGGAAAAAAACTTTTTGCTTACCCACAGAAATGTCTGTAACTGTGTCACTGAGACTTCCTAGTGCCTCAGCCACTTTGAAGCAATGGCTTAAAAATGGTCCTGCAAGTTGTGCCAGAGATTTGCTGTGTTGTTATTGCTACTAATGCTCATTTATCTCTGAAAAATCACATTTCAAGCATGCTTGGGAAAAACTTGAAATTATATTCTCCAAGATTTCATTTTCACAGAAATCAACCCTTCTCTCCCTGCCCCCCAAAGCTCTCAGAACATCTTCAGTCCCTGGTTTAGTCAGTTTGTCCTTGTGCTTAACGGATACCAGAAGCCACAGATCAATTGGCTGAAGTGAGCTGAGAGTAGAGAGACTATCTGTCTTTCTCTTCCACTGGTACCTATGCAGTGGAGACAAGGAGAAAGCAAACTGATTCAGATACACTGCCACGAATGGGGCTAGATCAAACTAGGAATATGTAACATTTTAGATAATGTTACTAACAGAATATATAATAGAATATTTTGGATAATCTGTACACTGAGGTTAGAAACAAGGTAGCAGGTTAGAGTGAGAAACTGAGAAGGAGAAAAACTGAAGTTAAAAGGTCTGTAATGTGCATTCATAAAGGGAGAAAGAGACTTTAAGCATGGACTTTCATAATATGTACATACACTATGAAATTTGTTGTCACAAGAAATCATGAAGGACAGCAAGTGAGATTGATGTGAGTAAAAAATGACCTAAGCTGTCATAACTTATTAATGATTTTACAGCTGTTTATATAACTTAATGTTTCAGGAATAAATCCGGTTTTCTAGCCAGTAAGTGTAAGAATCAACTCTGTCATTAGGACAGTAATATAATAGATGACAGAGGGCCAGGAGAGAGGGATCTCCTCACTTGAGACTTGAACAAGTAGGTTAAATTTGTATCCTCAAAGTCTTAATTCAAACATGCTTACCTTAGCACACATTTGAAGGCTTCAGGCACTGCCCAAATGTGATTAAGTCCTGTTTCTAGAAAGTATTGAAGCAAGGGTCCTTGAACACAGGGTATATATTCAGGGGGACCTTGTCTGACTTTTGAGTAATTATTGTTTTGTAATTCACTGCAATATTAATGACTTGTTATTATTTACCTTAACCAATTGCAGCACTGCGTGCCATAATGTTTAGTCATTCTGCAAAATTGTGTTTTATGTGATCTGTTGAATTTTTTCATCTAATTTGCTTTCTTTTATGCTTTTATCAAGTATTTCCACAACTCTACTTCCACATGCTGCGGCAGAGAAGAAGGGTGCTTCATGGAGAAGTGATTGTGGAAAAGGACGATTGAATCAAGATGTGTAACTATGGTGCTTTTGGTGGAAAACAAAAAAGAGGGTAAAACCTCAGTACTTCCTGTGATTTTTCTGAGTCGAAGTTTTAAAACATGGAACAAGAATAAACAACTGTGCATAAAATAGCATGGACTCTATTATTTTTACAACTGATATATTTTCAGACCTACCTTTTCATCCTCAGTTTCACTTTGGTTTTTAATTGTTTAATTCTTCAAACAAATTATTTTCTTATTTTCAATAGGTTCACAAATAGCTTTAAGTGTTGGAATAGTTGGCTCCTGAGCCTTCTGTTCAGAAAGTTGTGTTATGACCTATAATCATCATCAAGAACAGAAGGAGAGTTGATAAGTTGTACTGATAGTGAGTCTTCTGGAAAACAGCAGAGCGTAAATTGGGTAATTGAGGTTTTTATAGTCTAGGCGGCTTGAATGTTTTTTAAGCTTTATATTAAATAATATATTTCCTCTTATAAGTACTGTAGCACATTGTTCAACAATCTTTGAATTACAGTAGGACTTTGGATAGTAGCTGAATCCTTGATTGTCGTGCAAATTTGGATCTCCCTGTATTTTCATTTGTAATTTTACAGATACATAGAATAACAGATATCAAATTGAGTGTTTAAAAGTTTTTGCTGAGGAGCAGACTTGATGTGCCTACTTTTCTCTGATCAGTAGCTGGAATGGGACTTGTTTGCAGAGGAAGTCTGAATATCATAATGTTTGCTATTCTACACTTAAATTAAGTATGCAGAAAAATCTCAGTTTTGCATTTAGAAACTGTAGGTATAGTGAGATATTTGACTTCTTATAAATAGCTCTGCGGGATAAAATATATTTGAAATAAGGTCTTAAAATAGAAATTGTGCTTTGAATCAACCCACTGTGCGATTTTAATTGCTCCCTTTCCATTAATTGTTTACACTGTGTTGACCTAATTCTATTCAATGTCTTCAATAATCTGCAAGAAGGATCTACAGTATATTAATGAAAGTTACAGATGATATTGCATTATATGATACCTGAGTGGGAGAGGTTCAACAAATTAGACAGAGCCTAAAAGATTCAGAGAGAAGGTAATGCATTTGAGGAAACTTGGATACTTAGTGAGAGAGAGAGAAGACTGAAATGTAGTAATGTGGTAAGCAGCTTTGACAATGTGGGCAGCAAAATTGCTTCTGGCATCACATGTCAAACGAAGAATATATATGCAGATGTACTGCATTAGCAGCTGGAAATCAGAATACTTGTGATGGCTGAGGTGGTATCTGGAGTACAGTGTTATATTTTTGAGTACTTCAAGAATTGAGGCAATCTTCTGAAAAGTTACAGAACAAAACCATAATGAGTTTAAGTGAGAAAGAAGTCGGAAAGATTGAGTCGTTAATATTGATAATTTTTTGTTATATGACAAATACATGTAAAGGAAGAGGCTTTCTAAGTGTGAAGGTGCAACTGGAACTGATTATATGAATTTGAAACAAGGTAAATAGCCAATGAATGTCAGGAGAAAGATCCTGCTAATGAGATCAGTTCTGTTATGGAATGACACAGTAGTGCTTATCAGTGCATACAATTTCTTGGGAAGTTTTTATCTAGATTTCGCAAGTGTTTGGACTATGTACTTGAAAATAGGCAGTTTCCATTTTTAGTTTCAATGATTCTATGGTTATACAGCTCTTTTGAAATTTGTAGCTGCACGTTTTTCTGGTGTATCAGGTAATTTGATTAAAAAAAGCAAGGATTTGCTACATCTCTTAACTTTCAAATTCCATTTTGTGCCTTAAATTTGTGATATTTTTGCATGTCTTCGTTACACGTAAATGAGTTTCCTTGTAAACAACAGGTGCATAGTGGACTTGAAATAGAATAGTTGCATTTTTTTCACTTTTAAAAGGTGGAATCTTTGTATCCTTTAAAACAAATGTCACACAAGGTGCTATAATTTAACCTACTACTTCTCTGTTTTATATGCAGCTAAAATTATTAAAGGTTTAAAATATAAACTATATTTACAACACTGAATCACAGAATAGTTGTGTTACACATGTTCAGACTAGCAGTTGTATTTGTCCAAAGTTCTTAGAGTACTGTTTTATAAACTTCTCTTGCTTTTTGATCCTTGAGGAACATCATGGCATTTTTCAGAAAGAAATCTGTCAGCAAGCAGAATAGTGTGATTGAATATAACTAACTAAGATTAGATCAAGTTCTGTATCTTTTTTACTGTCAGGGCAGCTCACTGAAGACCATAGCTATCAATTAATTGAAAATGCATTGGATACTTTAAGAGTATGATTTTGAAATCCTTAGTCAGATGAGTGTATCCCACAGACACTATTCCTGCAATAAAAGGAATACTTGCACTGTAATATTGCATTATATTTGTTTTCGTTGTGGCCTAAGGATATGTTCAATCAAGGAGATATTTTTATATCCTTTTGTGCATGTGACATGAAAAAAAGACAGCACTGTTTGCTAAAATCTTGTGTTGCACTTTCATAAAGCAACAGTGTACAACGTAATGATACAATTTAAAAACTGATTTGCAGCTACAATATAGTCATGATAAATGAGTACTAATAAATCTAAAAATTACTTACAGTATCACATTCAATGTTTCATAGACCAGAGAGATTGGCACAGCTTGAGGCCTTTTCCTCTTTTCCAGTTGCTAGTTGCTATATTGTTAGAATATCTTCTGAAAGATAGTTAGAATTGCAAGTAAAATCCTCTTGCTATTGACTTCAGACTTCCTAGGTAGCTTACTTAAATTTCAGTATAACATCATGAAGCATTTAATTAGCTTGTTAAATAGGCATTAAAATTAAGTATGATTTTCATATGGTGCTCTCTTTCCAACTTCTTTTTTACACTTTTTTTTTGTCGTCTTCTCTGCAATATTCCTAGTTCTGTAAAGCATTTAAATCCTCCTGCTTATGTAAGATTAGAAATGTATTCAAACATAAACATCTCTAATGTTTTCATGTAGTCTTTAACAAATTGTTTTCTTACTCGTGCTATGCATGCTTTCTGAAATGAAGTTATATAGAGCATAGCCTTATGAAGCTTTTCTAATGACAGTACACAGGAATATGCCTTTGGAAGGAGATTTCTATTCATCAGGTGACCTTGCCTACTATTGGTAGTAACAGAAACACACCATTCTTCATATATAATCCAGCTAAAAACAGCTGGATTTCTTGAGGTTCTCCCCAGTACTCTCACAGTGTTCCCACTGTAAAAGGCTGTTTTGAGACAGATTGAGGTGGCCTGTGTCTTCACAACTCTGCCCAGAATGTCTGGAAGCCAGATCCTGGCCTCAGGGCATGGACAGCAGAAAGGAATATGATGCTGAGATATTGCATCTCCTGCATTAGCTGCCAAGGGGCACTGGGGCCATTGTGAACAGTAGCTGATAGATGTAATTTCTCTCACCACGCAGGATGTGGGAAGAGAGGAAGCTCAGTGTGCTCTCATAGCTTTTGCCTAGGGAGCTCAGGAAATCAGCTGGGAGCACCTCTGTGACAAAGGGTGTGTTGCAGAAAGGGTTTTCCTGCTCCACTCAGCTATCTTATTACTTACTATCTATTAGCCTATATGTCTTGAGATATACTGGTGTGCCAAGATGGGTATACCACACTGCTCTCAGTCATCTGGTTCAAAATTAACTGCCTTGGATAAATAGTACAGCATGCTGCTTCTAATTCCCACTGAGCATAACATTTTGCCAGGTTCATGTTAATGGATAGATTGCAATGACTAGTTAATAGGGAGGTGTTTCCATGACCAGATGGAACCTACCTCTTCTTATCCAGACAGAATATTTTAAATCTAAGTCTAGCTACTGCTCTGACTGTGGTACTTGCAGTCTTCACAGTAGCTTACTTCAGTGGATATTTGGATATTTATGTGATTACTACATAAACTATAATGAAAACAAATTACAAACATAATAATTTATAATTTAAGATAGTTGCTACATGAACAGTTTTTGTGAATTCAGTTCTTACTTAATCTACCTGAGAAAGAAAAAAAAGGAAGGAAATACTAATAAGTGTTAATACAAATAAGTGTTCTGCACAAAGCAGTAAGGGCTTCATAAATCAAAATTTTCATGCAGGTGAACTGGCTGCAGTTCGTAAAGGATTGGTTAAATGTGTTTTTGAACAAAAAGGTTGAAAGCTTTTCTGGAAATTAAAATTTATTTCATAATGTGTATTTTAAAATGTGCTGAAAGATACTGTATTATTTATTACCAGTTTACAATTTAAATTCATGCCAAACGTACAGTTTTTATAGATGATTAATTGTAGCCCATTAAAATGTTTCATTCTGTGTTTATTACAATGGCTGTTTAAAAAACAAACACCTCATGTTTCTGCAAAGCTCTGTGTTCTCTTGCTCAAGTGAGTTGCAGTATTGTTATTGTCTACAGTGCTTTGCAAGCCTTCTAAAGTGGCAGGTTTCTATTTGCCATGGATAGCTCCTTAAACTGGCTTTCATGATGGCACACCTTCACAGTGGTTCAGTGAGTAAAACTGTATGCCACTGGTACCATTCTAGAGGTCCTGAGTGCCTTCAGTAGAACTGAAGGCTTTACAGATGTGCCTGAGTCATCCTTACGACTTCCTCAATGGAGAAGACCTGTCTCATGAGCTCTTAGGTCACAAAAGTAAGCCTGGCCAGTGAACTTAAGGCTACACCAAGACAAACTGTGGAGAACCTGGATGTTGGGTAACTCTAGCCCTCTCATAGGAAATCGCTGTCAGGTTCAGGCCTGCAACTGGTAGTGGCTGGTAAAGTTCAATACATTCTGTGTCATGTTGTATCACCTGAAACATGTTGTCTTTTTATTCATACCTCTCTTGCTTCTGTGGTCAGTCTTGAATGTATTGAGTGTCCTTTCAGTTTATGGTTTTGTAAAAGTGTAAGTACAAAAAAATTTATCTAAGTGTACCATGTATAGAATTGTACTTAAAGATTCTTAATAATGTAATTGCTCTGCAGCTGCTTATTACTGTTATTTCTTCTGAAATGTGTTATCATTAGCAGTTTACAGAGATAGGAAAACAACATGATGTGACACTTTAATAACTTATTTATTTGCAAAGATTATAAGATTTTTTGGGATATAGATTCAGATACTTGTTTTAGAGATTGTTAATACTGCAGCACTGTAGAAATTATTCATCAATTAAAAGATGTGTTCTAAAGTATGTTCTATTTGAATTTTTTTATTATTTTTTTTAAGTGTCTAGAAGTAAGTTAAAACATTATTCAGCATAATACACCAGCCTGGTATCTGTTTGCAAATACTATACATTTTTATCTAGAATTATCTCACAAATTAATCTTGAGGTCCCCTGTAACATATTTACTATTAGACAGTTTTCCTTTTCACATTTCTTAAAATATATGCCATGAGAAAAAGAGGTAGGTTTGAGTAGTAAAGTTGGTTTATCATAGAAGAGGGGAAAACACAGAGCATTAAAGAGAATGTCAATATGTATGAAGAAAATTGCAGTACAGTGGTCCTGAAATAGATGTTCTAGTAGCAGATGTTTCAGTGTTTTGGAACAGGACTTCTTTGTGGTATTAACCTTTGAGGGGAGTGGAGGCAGTGAACATCCTCTGGCTGTCCTTTGCTGTGTGACTAACAATGACATTGCAGCTATGAGAATTTCGTTGCCATGACAGTATGATAAAGCAGTATGTGAGCATTCACACCTTATTCTTTTGAATTAGGAATCAACCCCAAGGAGCTTAACTGCGTACAAAGCCTAAATCCTGTTAGTCAGATGTATTATAATGGAGACGTAGATCTCCTAATCTGAAAGTCACAGGAATGGTCTTCTGATCTAAATTTGCAGGACAGGATTTACTTATCCTGGCCCTCTACCAAGGCTAAATTATTCAGATTTCCATAGAAGCTATGGAAGAGTATCCACTGATCTCAACAGGAGTATGATGGGACATAGACATTCATGTGTTCTGTTCTGTATAAATCTGGATTTGTGAGGAAAAGGGTAAACTGTATCCTCCCTGTTAGTACAGTCTGAGAGAAAGCACATACTTGTTGTGCATTTGCTGATGCATGATGGCACACTTCTTCCCAGCTTTACAGTGTTCCCAACAGTGCTCCCTGCAGAAAACTCCAAAAGACCTGGAAATCTCCAGCATTACACCACTGTTGCATTATACTGATCTGAATTCAGCAGTCCTAGAAAATCCCTTCACATATCTGCAAAAATATCTTTTATTTCTGAAATTATTCTAGGCCCAGTGACACAACCCATTAAAAATAGTCAGGGTAGATCATCCCTCACAGCTGCTTGGACGTTCCTAGCTTGGAATACTGCCATCACTGAACAACTTTGATTTCCATAGGTAGTCTCTTGGGGGTTTGCCCTCATACCACTCTCATAAGATGGCACTTTGCCCGCTCTTAAATGGCTGTTGCAGATTCAGTAGAACAAATTGCAAATGACAAGGAAGAAAAGATTCAGATGTGTACTGCTTCACTCACCAGGCACCCTCCTGCACTTGGAAGAGAATCCTGGGTGTGTAGTCAAATTTGCGTGCCTCCTAATTTGCCATGTGTATGAAGCTGCGTAGTAGAACAGGATAGACCTTCAACTCTTGAAGAAAAGAAACGAATTTCAGTACTGAAGACAGCAAACTAAGTTCTATTGTGTAAATTAAATCTGGGAAGACCATTAAGATTCAGAGCAACAAAGCAGCAACAAAACAGAGACAGAATTGTGGATCTTGCAGCTGACATTTGCAGCCAACTGAAAGCAAGTATTTAACATTACTCCTGTTTTCATTCAAGGTGAGGTGATCTTACTGAGAATAAAAGAATGTAATTCTTGCCAGAAGGAGTCTCATACAGTGATCATCTCTGGGGTCAATTGATTTAACCTTGCAATCTCTACATTATATCCATCCAACTCTTAACAAAAGAATTCTGTCTCTAGAAAAAAGACCCAGAAAACAATTCCTCTAGAAGTTCCTAAATAGAAAATTTGTTTTAGATTTCATGAGATATAAATGCTTTTGAACATTTTCATTCACTTCAGAAATGATAATTTAAATCATATAAAGATTTATTTATTTATTTTCTTCTCTGTGCTTACTACAATAATACAGTGCTTGAAAAGGTGTTGGAAATGTAGAGAAAAATGTCTAGATACTAAATATGCTGGTACTGAATCTTTAAAAAGATGACTGTGTCTTAGGGTTACCAGGAGGAAAGCAGAGGCACAAACTAACTTTTCTTAAATGGAAAGAGTCTCTGAAATTTCATAGCTTCATGTTCAGCTCTGTTTGTTCCATAGGCAGTGCCTGCTGTTGTCTGTTATGTTCATACTTAATACAGTATGAACACACAGAAGTTTGGGGTTTTTTTTAAATCAATAGACATAAGTAGTTCCTGGTAGAAATGTGTCACTGCCATGTGTAACTTGGGTTGGAAAAAAAAAGAGGGCATGGTACCTCCATTTCTTACCCCTTTTAAATTGAAAGATTGTCATAAGAGCCATATTAGACAGCGTTGCCATGATATTTTTCTTTTGCCATGAAAACAAAATTAAGCTACTTTATACATTATTATTTTCCCACAACTTTTTTTGCTGTGTGGAAATAAGTCTATGGTCTAGATGATTTTCTCAGTTGTCTCAGGGCCCTGCTATTTTACAAGTCAGCAGTAGTCCACAGTCTACAGCTGGAAATACACTTGATCATGATATTCCTAAATTGGTGCAATGGCTGCATTCTTTAGGAATAACTTTATTCTCCCACAAATTGCAGGATGAAGATAAAATATTCAAGGTTAATCTTTTTTATGAATGTGCTTGCCTCTTGAAAAATGTCTGTGATGTGTGAATGAGGCTGTGTGGTTTTCTTGTTTGTTTCTTTCCACCTGTGTAGTTGCTTAAACCCTAATTACACCATTGCCTATTGAATATGAAGTCAGTGGAATTTTGTGGTTGTCAGATATGTGAGTTCTTTGAGTTTATGGCAAGTTTGTAGTCCACTTTTTTGATCATTAGCCTCAACTCTTAGCTGCAGATATTTGTGTGATTTCACCTTTTGTCTGAAGTGAGAACTATACTTTGGGATACCTTTCTGAAGGCATTCAATGTTTAAGCATGATTCCTTTTTGTCCTTCTTCCTTCTGATCTGTGCAGGATACTGACCGAGTATCATGAGATCTTTTGTAAATAACATTGGGTGGTTGTTCTCATTTCACTCCCCTAACTCATTTGAACATTTGCTACAGTTGTTAAGCTGTTAAAACATGACTAAGTTGGAGATAACTCAGTCACCTTCCTGTGGTCTGTGAAGTATTCAGGGTTAGACTGTGCAGAGGGCAGAAAGCCAGTAAAGGACAACAGAACCAAGATTGTGTGTTAGATGAAGAGTGAGTAGCTTTAGCCATGTGCTGAGAGTAGTATGTAGGATATATGTTTAAGGAACTCAAAACTGTGTATTTGAAACACAGACTGTGTTTCTGAGTCAGTCATGCCTGAATGGTTGCTGTGCTTGTGACTGAAACAAGCTTGCTATTTAGCCCTTGGTATTGAGAAGACACATGAGACGTGCTTCACTGATGAGAGGTACCATTTATATATCTGCTCTTGGTTTTCATCTCTGGGCACACTATGTGCCTGCAATTTGCACGGGTCTACATGTTAAAAGAGTTAACACCTTCCTCCGGTGTTTTAATGTAGCTTAGTTCTGAAGAATTGTCAAGAACTTCTTGGAAGAAATAGCACCTTAGACTGATCTGATTCCATCTTGAGAGCATGAATGTTTCAAGCAGCAGAACTTAATCTATTTAGGGTTTTGAGTGCCCTCTGTAAATAATTCTGGCAGCTAATTTAGTCCAGTCTCCCATCTTTCTGATGCCGTCTTTTCCAGTATAGTCTTCTAATTCATTCTGTGTTATGAAATCTCATTAAAGAAAATAAAATATGTATGAAAGATAAATATGAGCCTACATACATTAAAGCTGGGACCTCTTCTTCCTTACTGCAATCTTTTGTGGCAATTGTGGGAGGAATGTCAGACCAACAGTTCTGAGGAATAGTAAAACTGTTGGTCACTAACACTGGCCTAAAAGTTTCCCGGGTGAAGCAATTTGAGGGGAATCTGCTCAGGGATGTGTTTTTTGTGAGTGCTTGCTAAGAACTCAGTCACAAGCTCTTTTTCCCAAATCACGTTGGGATGGTCGTTTTGCTTTAAGAAGGGCGCATGTACTTCACTTCAGAGATGATGCTTAAACCTTCAAGGTGTCTTGTACTAGTACTAAGATTTCTGCCTTTCAAGGGGCTTTAACCTTTCTGTGATCCAGTTATATTCCCATTACAGGCCCATAGCATCCATAGCCCATAGTGATGATCTGACTTCAGTGTGTATTTCTTATTTCCCTGAGACTATTGTACTTAAAAATATTCACAGCCCAAGTAAGATTACCTAGTATTTCATCTGGTTGAGAAAGGTTATTACACTTGATTTGGTGATTGTAAGCATGGAGGTTTTGTATCAAGGAATACGTAGTTTCAAAGCTATGAGATCTGCAGTGAAACCTTCAATTGGAGGAAGGGGTTAAATTCATTATTTACTAGAACCTCTGAGACTGTAACAGGTGCATATTGAATGAGATAATTAGATACGTTTAAAGTCAGCTGCAGACAAGCTATTATTTCAGTATGTTGCTCTGAGAAACCACAGGTAGACAATTACTGGTCTCATGATGATAGCAACTGCCCTCAGAGCACTAACCAGTGTCACTTCCCATTGTGGCTCCTCTTCTGTGGGAAACTGAGAAATAATTACCATGTAACTACTCTGAGCTCTAAATAGCTGTTTTTCTTTAGGTATACTATTTACCAAGAGGTTTTGTCTGCAAATAATACCTCTTGAGACTGTCTGCAGGCAGGATGTGGTAATTTACAAAAGCTTTCAAGAGATTGCATTTTGAAATGTCACAGCTGGGAGGGTTTGCAGTTCACAGTAGGTCTGGAGACACAGATCATGGGACCAGATTCTCTGCTGCTGTGTCTCAGTGGCATTGTGCTGACTTACACAAATTTGAAGAGTTGACTTTTAAAGAGCCTTTCTAAGAATAGTTCAAAATTCAAATATGTGGTACATGTGATATTTTTCTTCTTTAATTTAGAAGAATTTTAATTTATT